TGCAGAGCACCGCGGAGTTCCTCGGCGGTGGCGGGGATGAAGCGTGCGCGGAGTTGCGGGGATCTCGTCTACCGCCCCGGAGAAGAGCAGCGCTCAATGATAAATCGCTGGGTGCAGCAGTTAATTTTGGCCGGGTTTCAGGCTGGGGTTTGTCGGCTTCCCACAAAGCAGAGGCGAGGCGGGTCTGTTTGTTGTGATCAGCCAGGAGCAGAGGTGAGGCGGTTCTGTTTGTTGTGATCAGCCAGGTTTGGGGTGTCTCCTGCTTAATTTCCTAGGGTGCTAATGGTCCGGCAGATAGGAATAACGTGATGGTGAGGTGTTAAATTGGGGGGAGGGGGGGCGGAAATAGGCACGTAGTGTAGGAAACCCGTAGACCTTTCTGCAAGAGACATGAGAGCGTGAGAAAAATAATACAAAAATGGGAAGGAAGAATGCCTGACAGAGATTTTGACAGCGCTTTCTGAAGCAGGAAATCCTTTTGCTTAATGTGTTTAAATTTTCCAAACACCAAGGAAAACACACAGGTCCCCACAGGAGAACTTTTCAAGATGACAGAATAAACATCTATACAACTGAACTAGTTGACGTTTATTGACATTTTAGGTGGCTTATTTAGAATGATGAAGTTAAAGACCTTTGAAGTCTCATTGAATTTACATCTTGCTTTTGAGCAACCGAGACCCAGGAAACATTCCTAGTCCTGTATTTCTGTCTGTATTTCTGACAGACGCCAAGAGGAAGGGCTGCCCTTTGCGGTGAAAGTTTTATTCTGGACGAGGGAAGGTGTTAGTGCATTTAAAAGTGATTCTTAGAAGGTGCTTGGGTTTTGGTGGTGGGTTTGTTTTGGTAAGTAAACATTTAAAAACAAGACAAGCAGAAGAGATAAAAGCTTCCAGGAAAAAAAAAAGGATAGTATATTTCGTGTAGTCTGTTTAAATTTCAAAAATGATCACAGAGAGAAATTTTGGATAAGAACTGCAAATGTTGTGTTGTTTATCGTTGGAAGTTTTTAACATTAGATATCACATATAAAGAATCTTTTATTTTACATCCCATACTGGGATGGTTTGCAAAGCATCTGTCAGAACACAGGCTGCTGATGTGTAAAATAAATAGATAAATAATGCATATATTTATCTGTATAAATGTGTGTGTCTGCATACACATTCTGTACTTTTATGCAGATAAACGTGTATGCACACTGTACTTTATGTGTTGCTCGCTATCCCATGACAGACAGTATTTAGCCAAGCACCTCACTGCTGTCGGAGTTTTCCCAAGGCCTGGTAGGGTCTGGAAAAGAGCAGCCATCCCCTCTCAGCAGCTCTGTGCAGTGACAAGAGGCTTGAGTCACGCTTTGCCTTTGGAGAGTGGAGAGAAAAAAAAAAAGAATGAGTAATCATTTTGTTTGAATTGCAATAAGTATGAAATATTTTTCGGGAGCCAAAAAAATCTTGGAAAAGCAGAAAGACATTCTTAAATAGGAGCATTGTCACATTGGAGTGCTTCTTTTTTACAGGGAAGACAGTGTTGGGGTTTCAAAATGTTTCATTCATAAGCATATGAAATGAGCATGCAGGACAGCACTTTTGGAAGAATTTAAACTAGTAATTAAAAATGAAATAACTGTAATTACCTGCTCCTGGCTTAATGAGTGCAATTTGTCTTTGCTGTGAGTACCTAGTGAGACAGCTCTACCTCCTCACTCAGAGCCCAGCGACAGGATTATTGGGAGAGTGAAAGTATGAGTGAGTTGCCTGTGTCGCCAGCAAGATGTCTTTCTGTAGTCAGTTTGCATTTTGGTTTTGTAACATTTTGGCTGCTGAAGCTATTATTTCTGTATATACTGATTGCAACACGCTTTCAAGGAAGCAGAGAGTGCTGTTGGGGGAAAAAACCGTCTTCTTCCCGGCCCCCCCCCAAAAAGATTATTTTTATATACGTACATATATATGTATATGCACACATTTATATTTATATTTATCTAAGGAGGAACACTCCGATTTGAAAACTGCCATTGTCGAAATTGTTTGAAATTTCTTTCTTTAAAGTAGACCTGTGTTTTAAGAAAAAAGCGCATGTGCTGGCTATAGTTTTCTGGGGTAACTTCTTATTTTCACTTAGAAAATTTCTTTTCAGCTGGAAAAATGTTTTAAATTATAGCCATTTTAAAAAAAAATTGCTCCTAGCAAGCAAAAATACTGTGGAAAACCTGTAATTTAGGCAAGTACCTACATTTTATTTGCTCTGTGCTGCTGAAATTTAGAATCCCTTCCCATTTACAGTTTACTTTTCACAGAACATTATTAACTTTTTGGCTTCATACATGATCTTCTGTCAGATGCTTTTGATTTGTAATTTAGCAAAGTATAATAAACAGTGCAAAAGTCATGAATTTTCCTCCGCATCCTGAGCTCTGTGGTAGGGAAAATGTGATAAAATGTGTACCTTAGGTCTTGTTTGATGATCTCTCAAAGCAAGTTTGCCTTCTGGAAATAATTTCTGGGGTTGAAGAGCATGGTATTAACAGATTTAATGTGGCTATTCAATGGATTGGTGGAGTACTATGTGAGGTTTAACAAAATGAGAGAGACAAATTGAACATCAACAAAGCCTACATCTGTGAAGAATTATAAATTTAATTAGAAAAAAGGCAAACTTAAAAGACCTCATTAACTAATCAGAATTTGATGTTACTGATTTAAGATTCTTAAATGGTTGAATTTTAAGTAGCTTTGCTATCACTGTCCCATTTTTCTCGCCATGTGCTACGTAGTGCCCAGATCTGCAATCAGTATTAAAGATAAAGATGTGAAAGTTACAGTCAAATTCTACACAGTAATATTTTTGAGGTAGGAAGGAGAATGTGTGTGTCATTTAGCACATAAGGCATTTTTAGTTTAAGCAGAGTGCAGAGTATGAAGGGTGAGTGACAGCTCCTTTTTTCTCTTTTTTATTTTTTTTTTCTGTGCCCCTTTGGCTGGCTGGATAAGGCCGTTGGTTTCTTTTTTTTCCACTTTTCGTTTGATATGTGAGTTATGTTGTAGAAGTTCAATTATCCAGAAATCTGTTGGCAAAATGAGAGAATGTATGAGAGCAAGCACACGCCACCCAGAAATGGTTTTATTCTATGAACTGTTCGTCATAAGTGTGGTTCCTTACTACATTGTAATTTTGTACTACACATAAAAAACTGAAAGCATGTGAAGTGTAGCATTTTGTAAACTGTAACTAATTTCACTCACATCTGTGTCTAATTGTTGTCTGCATTCGCATTCTTGAGAGTAGATTTATTTTTCCTGGACCACTCTGTGGATTCAGCTGACCAGCCTAAGTGAGGATTAGTTGTTTTAAAGTTATTTTGATTAAAGAGTCATTTTTAAATATGGTAACGTGCAACACATGGTTTAAATAATCATTGAGACACAAAGGAATATATCTAAAGTATGTCTAATGAAAATGAAGATTGTGGATATGAACTTTCACAAATCATAGAGTGTTAGAGGACATATAAGGTACATGTTTAATTCGCTATGAGTGAGCTGGATTTTTTTTCCCGTCTCCCATGAATTCTGAAATGAAATCTCTCTCACTATACACACACGTGTACATATATGTATATATTTGTAAGTGTACAGAAGTTACTGTTTTTTTAATTTGGGTAAATAAAATACTGAGGATTAATTGTATTTTAGAGTTTAGTGAAGTATGAATAATAATGTAGGGCACTTTGGAAAATATCAATTAATTAAACCATCTATTTGAAAAAGAAAGCTTTTTCTATTATAAAAGATGTTTTAAAGGACCCTGTGCAAGAGAGAGTGAAGATAGCTCTGTAAGCAAACTTAGTTCTCACCTATAATTTTTTCCAGGTGTTTAGAAGTAATAGCAGATACATATCCTAGGGCACTGCTGTAGTTTCTGGGGTAGAGAACTGTTTGGTTTTTTTTAAGCAAAATGCACAGTTTTGAATGTATCTGCTCATCTAGTTTGATTTGGCATGCAACAATGTATTGAAAAGTCCATTATGCAGTGCTTCAAGTACCCAGTTATAAAAAGATTGATGTTTTTCAACATGCATTATTGCATTCTTCTTGACATCGTTTGTAACATTCTGCATTGCCTGGCTGCCCCTAGCAGTTGTTTACTCTTGCTAGTAGTAATTCTGTCTGTGAGAAAAAATAACAAAAAAACCCCAACAACTCTACAGACACATAAGTAGGATGTGCTTGGATGATTTTTATGGCACTTAAAATGCCTCATCTCTCTTGTCTTTGCTCTGTGATCGTTTAAGAGATGTTGGTTCAGGTTGAATGGAAACGCACGTGAAGGATTCTCAGTGCAGACATTAAGAGGATATATGCCTTGCCTGAAGAAGCTTTTGTGTGCCTTTAAGCTAACAGTGCCTAACAGCGTAGCTTCACCTGAATTTTATCACCTGCTGACAATTGTTACTGGCTACAGAGAAGAGTCTGTTAGCAAAGCAATGATGTCTTTCTAATAGCGTATGAAAATCTACTACTCACCTGAGTTATAATAGGAGTCGTTTTATTAAACTGGAAAATTATTGCTGGGCTTCCCAGTGGAACCCATTTGCTTTTCTTGATGAGTGACTGCAGAGGTAAATGGTGCAGATTCCTCCTGTTTATTTTGCCAGAAGTGTTCTTTTAGGGCATTTTATCAGAAATCTCATTAGTGGCTGAAATTTTTACGAGTAAGACCTTGTGCAATAATGTGTAGGGGATTTATTTTAATTTGCCTTGGTTGGAGATGGGCTTATTTTAGAGACGGTTGTGTAATACTGTTAGTCATATATTGAAGATCTTTACCATAGGTAGACCTGCCCCTTGTCCCCTCCCTGAAACTAGTGGCAGCCTCTCCAGCTTGCTTTGCCCCTTGCCTTTGGGGTGAGCTGCCTTGCAGGTTCCCCATTGCCCAGGTGTGGAGGAAGGATGGTGAAGAGTGGAGAAAGATGAAAGCCTATGTGATGAGGGCAAGGAGCTGTCAAGAGTTAAGGGGATGGGAGGGAGAGATGAGAACTTGGAGGCAAGAGGGGTGGAGGATGCTATGGGGCTTGGGGCTGGAGCGGCTCCCACTGCCACTGGCGGGGTTACCTTTGCCGGGTTGCGCAGCCATGCTGTGCCGTTGTGCGCTGTGCAGTGCTGTGCCGTGGGAGGAGTGAGCCCCTCTGCAGCTGTCACGGGCCCCTGATGAATCACTATCCCGTCACTTGGCCGCCGTCCCCCAGCGTGGGGAGGAGGGAGAGAGACCTGCCGGGGAAACAACAGTTGAGCCTTCAATTTAAAGACAATATGCCTTTCACGGGCACTGCACCCTCCTCCTCTCCTTTTGGGTTTAAAGAACAGAATTGTCATCTGCAGTGATATCCCTTCTTTAAATTAGGGCCTTGTAGTAAAGCAGAGTACTAGAGGCTTCTGTCTGTTTCCCTGGTTTGCAGGTGCAGAAGTCCCAAACCAGTTCAGATGTTGCTGTTCCCTCAAGCTGCAGGTAAGGATTTGATTGAAAATAGCTATTTTTCTGCAATCCTTTTATTTTTATTTTAACTTCAGGTGATAAGTAAATATTTATTCTTGTTTTCTGCATTAAGCAGATGAGTAAGTGCTGGAGCGTCGCTTTTACGTGTGTGCAACCAAGACTGTAAACCATGAGCAAGTACACTTTTTCACTAAATCTTTTGACTTTATATTAGATGTTGGCTTTTCCAACTCATTGCAGTATCGTCCTCTTTTATGTGTCGATTGGTTAGATAACGAAATATAAAATAAAGGATTTGTGTTTAGAACTTGTGATAAAATGTCAGTTAAAATGTGAAATCTTCATAGCTGAAATGACACTTATGCTTAATGATATTTATTCTGTTACTGTGGGAGGAATTTTTTAATATAATTGTAATAGTCTTTAAAAGAGCCTAAGCATTTCTTTTAAACTGAAAAATTACTGGTTCAAATGCCTTGGAGGTGCAGTAACCTATGAAATTTCTGCTTGGAGCAATTACTTAGACTGAGTACATCAAATAACATTATCAATATTTTTAGGTATAAAGAAACAGAAGGATGGGGTACTTCAATCATAAACTTCCCCAACATCAACCAAGGGAGGTGTCACAATGGTGATAGCTGTTGGGCTTTTTACATAAGGCTATTAAAACCACAAATTGTTAATATTCAGCTGCTTGTGTGCTATAAAAATGTTTAACTTTTGCTTTGAATCAGAATTTCTCTCTTCTTATTTTGACTGAGCAACAGCTGCTGAGATACGGCAGAGTGCTAAGGCATACTAACGCCTGTGTGGATTTGCTGTATGTTGGTCAGATCTCTTTTCAATTGGGCATGCTTTATGTAATCCACAAAGCAAACAAGTGAGCAGACATAATAATGTTTTAATGCTGCATTTGTTTCAACGGAAACAGAGGAACAATTAAGTAGTTTGCCAGAGTAAACACATACATCAGGAATATCTCATTCCCTGTCAGTAGTTGATAGGTTTCCTCAATTGCTTCAAGTGTTTTATTTGGTTTGGAGGCCCATTATATTGCCACTGAGTGGTAAATCTTGAAAAAGCAGGGTGTTAATTTGTTGTTAAGAGAATATATGTCTTTGTATATTGATGATTGCGTCTTTGTATGTATGTTAGAAATACAACGTGATGTGAATGTTTAAAGTACAGTACTTTGTATCTAAATTTTATTCTGTTAGAATGTGCAAAAATAATTACGGTAGCTGGTCATTCATTTGTGGGGTAACAAAACAGGTTTAACACGAGAAAAGGTCAAGTTAGGTGAAACTGTTCATTTTTCACTAAGTATTTTCAGGACATTGATTAACAGTGGGCTGTGCCGCGTATAGGTAATTCCTCCGTAATCCATGTTGAATATGTCACTAAAATTGGCTGCATCTTGTTTTCAGGTCTATGGAAATGCAGGATCTAGCCAGCCCACATAGCCGACTAAGTGGTAGTAGTGAATCCCCCAGTGGTCCAAAACTTGATAACTCTCATATAAATAATAATTCTATGACACCCAATGGCACAGAAGGTGAGCCACCTTTTTTTTTTCATATTTCATAGTTAGTTTTATTCTCATTGTTGCGTTGGTGTTCTTGCAGTCTGTAAACCATGTAGAGAAACTGCTTTACTGTTTTAGGTATTATGTGTTTATGTAATATGGTATATAGATCCAGTGTTCAATGTTTATCAGTAGTTACTATTATCAAGTTTCAGCAATAGCTTTCATTCCAGGTTTATGTTCTTTTCATGGAGTTTGAATGAACTGAGCACTTAGTCTGTGCAGAGCTTAAAGAAAAAAAAAATCCCGAAACTTCAAAAAGGTAGTTTAGTGATGAGAAAAAAAGGAGGAGTTTATAATTGTCCTACTACAACAGGCAATATTCCCATCTTTTTCACTATTTTGGTATTTCTTTATGTTCTCACTTTTTGCAGGCTCCTAAGGCTATGAAAGTTTTGTTGCGTCGGCTAATAAAACTGAGTATTGAAATTTCCTCAGGCTAGCTTGCTGCTCTGATGGAGTGGCCAAAATTCAAACAGGTGTAGTAATTCAATGGGGTAAACTGATACCTATTTTTCAAGAAGCAGTCAGGCAGTTGATAAGTTATGTTTGTTCTCAGTAGAATACTAACAGCAGAACAACCTAACAGCTTTGCCAGTAATATAATACATGTATAATACATATAATAATACATATAATGAAACACAGAAGGGTTTATATAATAAACAGCAAAAACTTTCCTGTAACATTTCTATGGCAATAGTAGGAAGATCGTACATGGCATTTGGCTAGTGATGTGGACAGAGGTTTTAATGCATTACTAGAAAACTGAGTCACACAGCTTCAAATACTACTTTTCAGTATAAAAGTACAGTTAAGTGACTATTGTAACAAAGATGTACCTTTTTTTTCCTAAGAACTGGGTCATATTAGTGCTGTCAGACTATTTAGGATTATGGACATGCACTGCATTCTTCCTGGAAAGGCACATGTCAATCAAACAGATGTCGTCCCCCCTCAATTCCCCAAACATCTCTGTTATTCATTCTAATTGGAGTCCTCTGTAGTGGGGAGGGTTTATGGGTTATCAGATTAACAAGCATTTGTGCCAGAGTTGTGTATAATTTACTTTTTGCTATCACTGTAAAAGTATTGCTGCAATCAAATTTTAAGCCATTTGAAAAAAAAAAGTAACTTTTTAATGAATAAATGAAGTGCTTAATGTGTTAATGTAGTTTAAGCAGAAAAATAATTCATGTCCACAAATCTTATTCCTTTTGAATGCCCAAGTACATTAGTATATTTTTATATCATATTATCAGGTATATACCGATTATTGATACAGAAAAAAATACCTTCTCCCTTTCAAATTAAAATTCTTCTTGCTCACAAAAGCCTTTGCTGTAAATTTCACCAGCTTTTCTACCTTCTGTGTAACTTGAAGGTTCTTTAATAGCACAAAAATAAGGACTGGTTCTTAAAACACTGAAAGATACTCACCATCTGTGTTGCCTTTTTGTTCTAAGTAGTTGTTCTGCGCAGGCATGCGCTCTGGAAAATGGGGTGCTTAATATTACTTTGTCAGGAAATTAGATATATACTGTATTTATTCACGCACTGACCTCAGGTAGCAAATAATTTCAGAAACAATATTCTGACTTCTAGGTAGGTATCAGAGTTTATAAAAAAAAGTAAATTACACCACAATAACTTCTTTGTCCGACACTAGAATTTTAAAGTTCAGGCTTATTCAGTTTTGGGTGAATTCTACCAAAAAAACTGTAACATGCAATACATGTTTACCTTCTAAGATGAAGCCAAATGGTTTTCTTTTGTTTGCGATTTTCCCTCAGGTGACATGACCCTCCTCAGCACTGCAGACTGGTTGCTAAGCCCTAGCACACAGACCCCTGCAGGTTTGGGTGGCTGCGGTGGGCACAGCAGGCGTGGGCACTCAGCATGCGTTTTCAGATCATGTCCAGAAAGCATCCTGAAAAATAGCTTGTGCTTGGCGATTCCTGTCTAAACTTTCTAAATTGAAAATTCCTGTCTCTGATTGCTCTTAAGTGACAAATAAGGAAAAGTGTGTGAAAGAAACAGAATTGACTAATTTATTTCTGAATTAGACGTGTGCCAAGAGACAAAATTTGTAAGCGAAACAGATGCCTAAGAATCTGAAGGTGGAATTTTTGCCATTAATCTGTTTTATCCTAAGAAAATGTTTGGTTTGGATTCCTTGAGCTGCTAAACAGGCTTAAGAAAAAATCGAGTGAATGAAGCAAGGGTTGTTTTTTTTAATGAAGGTTGAAGTGAAATTATTTTTTCTGAGATTCTTGAAGCAGAATCCTGCTGAGACATAAGTGACAGATTGCAAGGATGCAGTCATAAGGGCTTGCCAAACACCTTTCTTAAAATGCTGCTGTGTGGTTTGATTGGTTGTTGCATGTGGAGTGGAGATGTGAGTTGCTGAACTTTCACTTGTTATATATAATATGTGAAACCAGCTTCTAATCTAGTATGTACTCATTCTCACTGACATGAAAAAGCCCTCCTTTTCTGACGTGAGGGACCTTCATATGAACAAGAATCAGGGCCTCCAGGTATTTGCATGTTATAAATATCTTGTAAAGATATGTTAAATTTGATTTGACTATGGGTGTGATTTCGGCAGGTTTCCATACCCTGAAGTGTAGGATATGCTCACTAGATGAGGGGGGTGGGGGGGGTTAAAAAAACAAAACAAAACAACAACAAAAAAACCCAAACCAAAACCTATCCCAAAGTGAAATGGCCCCATTTCAAACAAATGTTCATTAATTCCTCTAAGGCACATTTTCAGACTTGTCTCTTATTGATGTTGTTCTACAAGAGGATGTGGTTGGAAGATAGCTCGTTGTTATTACTTAATATTTTTAGCTTCACACTTAGTGGTAAATTTTCAAAGCACTGAATGGGGATTTAGTTGTGTGACTGAGTCTGAGTTTAATCCCTGCGTGCAGCTTTGATATAATAACTCTTTGTGTGCTTAATTTCACTTTGGTAGAACAAGGTTACTGTAGTGCAGAACTGACCAGGTAGTGCTGGCTGAAGACTGAAGCTGAAGAAATTCAGGGGGCTTTGGGTGACTGCTATTTATTTCCTCCTATCTAAACATTTTTTAAACAAGTCAGATTTACTACTTCTTGTCTCAGATAGCAATTCCTCTATGGGATTCTTTTGGAACATAGTGATTTCTGTAGAACAAACAGTATTCTTTTAAGTTTGTTGCAGACCATGAGACAGTCTTCATAGCTCTGGATGTATGTGTAGTGAGGGGAAAAGTAGCATTTCCTTAATACCTTGATTTTAAAAAAATCATAGCTAATAGGAAATAATTACTTTTCTAGTGTTTGGATTTTTTCCTTCCTTTTCTCTGGGCCAGGCAGCATAATCTTCAAACCAATGAAGGGGAAGTAATAAGGAAATTATAGACCCTGACTAGACAGAAATTTCTCAGGATCAAATGCAGAGGAGTAACACTAAAATGTCTGGCTAAAGACATTCAGAAAAATCAGTTCTGGCATGCCAAGATGGTGCTGGTGATATAAATACTACAGTATTTGAGTTTTCCATAATTTCTTTAAATGTTTTTCTGCAAAATACCTTTTTTTTTTTCTTTGTAGAGAACAGCAGACACTGGGTACCACTAAAAATTTGGCCCTGTATGACTTGCCTAAGAAAATATGTTTGAAAAGATTATAAAGAAAATAGAAGTAGGGATCAAAATGTTCACAGTTGTGCCTTATCTTTAATCTTCTTTTGTCAGCAAATTGCTATGGTGGGCTGATACTGAAGAAGTTAAAGAAACAATAACAACAGAAGCTAATAAAGTTGCCATTCATTAAGTTTTATCAGACAGCTAGTGGCTAGTCCAACAGTGCCCACTTCTGTAAATATGCTTCAGAGGGGAAAGGCTGCGAGTAATCAATAAATTTGAAAGGAGTAGCAAAGCTGTTCTCCATAGTGGACAACTGCATCCAGTTTCTGCCTACAGTGACCTTTACTTTTATCTAAAGAATGTAAATCAGTTCTGATGGATTGCAGAGAGTGAGAAACAGAAGCCTGTGGCCCATCATGATGATATTTTATGCAACTAGAATGGAAAAGAATAAATGAAGACTGGGAGGAGGAGCCATGGTTTACCAAGCAACACCACTTCATTCACGTTAGGAGTATGGAGCTGCTTCTGGCCTCATTTTTGAGCGTTCAAAAGGAAGAAGAGAAGGCACTTTCATATCAAGTGGGAAGGGAAAATGGATAACAAATTGAAGATCAGATTTTCAAAGATACATAGGAAGGGAGGCTTCAAAGGGAGTTGGACATCAAAATTCCTTTGGAAAAAATAGGTTCTCGCTCTGTAAGTACCTGCTGCAACATGAGAATGAATCCCACACAAAGGCATTCAAAGCTTCCCACTACATGACTATCTGATGGGTGGTCATTAGAAAGGTTGTTTTAAGTCTGGTGAACATAAATCCATCTTCAGGGTTTCAAAAGGCAGCGCTGTGTAGTATGTTTGCTGTCAAGTTACAATATTATAGAACAGAGAAAAAATTGTTTTCAGTACTTTCTGAAGTAACAGTGGAGTAACATGTTGAAATCCATAGAGAGTGTATGAGCTGGTTGTTCTGGCACGTAATGTGGATTTCTGTAAGTAAATGATATCTTGAGTGTTGTTATTCTAACAATACTTTGGAGCACTCGTGGTACTCTTTCAGTATTGCAGTAAAGCCTGCGTATTGTCAGTGAGTGATTTTTAATTTTGTGTAAGTTATTAATAATTTTTAATAGTTATTAATTTTTTTTGTACTTTGGGGTGCAAAGTTGTGGTAGGTGATGGCAATCAGACAAAGTGATCCTCCTTTAGAATATGTTTGGGTTCTGGTATCTTAATTGCTCATTTCTGGAGTTTCTGCCAATTATGTCTGCTGAAGTTTCTAGACTTGTGTTTGTGATGAAGAGCTTGATGGTGGAAAACTTGTAATTGATGCAGGGATACCTCCATATTTAGACATCTGGAAATAATAGCCCAGTAAAGGTGAATCTAATCTTTACATTTCAATTGAACTATTTGTGCTAACTTCTTTACTCAGCGCCAGAAGAATGCAAGAGGACAGTTGTGTGGCCAGAGGCAAAGACTGCAGTGGTCCCAGGCCCCAGACTAGCAAAAGCAACCTGGGGCTCTGTAGGGTGTAATAATCTCATCTTCAACCTGCTGCCATTTCTGGAGCATAAAAACCAGATACCCATCACCCTGCCCATTTATGTGAAGACACAGGCCTGACTTGTACTATCTTTTTGTCCCTGCTCTTCACCTTTTTCTTCTTGCTGTATTACATTGGCTTCCTTCCAGACTCTTTGTCTTATCTGTGTCTTTATTCTCCTGCTTTCCTAAGAGTCCTTCAGTCTGTTCTGAACACTTGTAGCATAATGGTCTATTATTCTTTATCTTTCAGAGGTTTTTGGCCAGTGAAATAACTTGTCTACTCCTCTGTTGGCTCAGTCCATCAACTCCTGTTGCAAAATCTTGAGGAGGATACTGGCTAATAAATATATATGTATTTTTTGTCTTCTGTATGTGTGTGCATGTGTTTGTGGAAACTTCATAGTTTTGTTTTCTCCCATAACATTTTTCTGAAACAAAAGACCTTGTTTCAGTGAAAAGTCAATAGTGATACTGGTTTCCACGGACATTTGAAGGAATGAAAAGGGTCTAAATGACAAAGGACTTTAAAAACAAACAAACAAAAGAACATCTTGGAAGCATCATTATTTTAACATCATTTATTTTTGCAAGCTTTTCATAATTTTTGCAGCACATGCTGTTCCAGACTGGGGATAGAGTGTGGTGGTGTATGAGCACCCTCTGAGCATGCCTGAGGGTTCCAGAACCCTGCTGACACAGTGGCCCTGCATAGGCTGCAGGATGTCAAGAACCTGTGAAGATACTCACAACTTCACTGAAAACTGTAACTGCAACACATCATGCTAAATGCAGTGTCTCTCCAGTGGGGTTGGCCTGTTATGCACGATCTGCATGTGTGCAACCACATGATTGCACAGCATAAGATAGAAATATCATACACTTGGCTAGTAATACAAATTACAAGGAAATCCAGCCCCCGTGGTCAGTGTGCACCAGCAGAAACTCCAGTGAACAGGACTAGAACATCTTTGTCTTAAGATCACACCTTAGTAGACAACAGGATGATATTTGAAGACCCTTAGCAACTTTAGAAACTTGTGACTTGATCATTTAGCACTTGCATTTGCATCTTGTAATCTTCTGAGGGGTTTTGCTTATCACAGGTAGATAAAACAGCATGAAACTTGGTTACACTTCAGGTTACGCTGTGTCTTCTGACCCCTGGTTGGTGAGTGAAGTCCCTGTGCCACCTGGTTTGATGAGACAAGCTGGAGAATTTGCTGCTGCTGGGTGGAGAGGTATAGGCAGGCACTATCCCTCTTTGTCCAGGTGAATTTGGCTTTAAGTCTGGCAATCTTGGAGTTCAGATCCTGGCCATAAGTAGAGAATGTTATTTCCCACTTATGAAAGGTCCCACCTGCTTTGTCATTCTGCTTCTGTCTTCATGTCTCAGTCTTGTGTCTTGTACACGTAAATGGCAGAGTGGGCTGACTTCTCCATGGTGCTCTCTGTTCTCTTGAAGCCCTCCATGTTTCCCAGAAGGTAGCTGAAGACAACCTTCTTTGCTATTAATGGTTAGGACTGTGGCATTGTGTGGTCATTCTGTCTGACTTTGGTTAACGAGTATGGATATTTTATGTGCAAACTATTATACATGTGTAAGGGAGTTGCCATGGTCAGAGTCCTAATCAAGGATTTAAGAAGGCGGGGGGGGAGTAAACAGATCATAATACCTCTAACAGGATTGTTATTGGATATACATTGCCTCCATTTGGACAGAAGAGATACAAACATTCTGTATAAATTGATGGATGAGTTTGAAGAAGTAAGAACAGTTTGCATCAAATATTCTCCTAACTGCAGTGAACGAGACTATTTTAACCCATGACACTACTTCGCGGACGAATATCCAGGTTAAATCTTGATTAGCAGCTACAAATACTATCAAAACTTGTCTCCACCTAGATAGTTTTGAATTTCCTTTCTGATTTTGCACTGTAGTGGTAATGCCATCTCTTTGTAAATAGAAGGTTTTAACTGCTAGATGAGCAGATTACAATGACATTAAGGCTCTTTCAGTTGTAATAGGTAAGCAAAGAGGACGATGAGGGTCATGGGGGAGCTGTGCATGCAGTGAAGGCTTGGTGTTAGCTGCAGCCAAAATACTGCAGAAGTTCTGAAGCCTCCTCACATCAGAGGAGGGGAGAGCAGGAAACAGTCTGGGCTTGAACTAGAATGTGCTGCTTTGAGCAGGGACTTTCTTTGAAAATTGAACATAAATTTAGGCTGGAAATTACCTTGTAGTAATTACCTTCTGGTAATTTCCAGACAGATGAGTTTCAGGAAAAGCTGTCTGGTTTGAGAAGCAGGAGCAAGTCAGTTTATCAGGCTTCATGGCCAGGAGATAGTCTTTGATAAAAAGAAAGAATAATGTTCTGGATAGGAATCAGTATAACTAAGTAGCCTGTTTATAAGGAAAGTGTAACCTTTAGTAATCTGTTTATGATTGTAAGATTCTTCAGTACAAATAGGGGAGAGTTTGAATAAAATAATGGAATATATAATTAGCTTAGAGATTCCAGGTGGAATTTTTGTCCCGTTGTAAATGACTGTTATCTTTGAGTTTTCAGGTGAGCTTTGGGCTCCTAGTAGATACAGAAAGAGGATGGTATCAAGCAAAATAATGTATGAAGAATAATGGATACATAAAATACTTAATCAAGATACCTAGCTGGTGTTTAACTACTAACATTATTTGAAGATGTCACCTTGACAAATCAAAATAGGGCTAGAGAGTGTGTTTATATGTATGTCTATAAACAAACTAACAACCTTGCTTACTTTGTTAAGATTCTTTGTGCCCCATGAACACTGAGAGCTGTCAGAATCACAGAATATTAAGAGTTGGAAGGGACCTTGAAAGATCATCCAGTCCAACCCCCCTGCCAGAGCAGGATCACCTAGACTAGGTTGCACAGGAACGTGTCCAGGCGGGTTTTGAATGTCTCCAGAGAAGGAGACTCCACAACCTCTCTGGACAGCCTGTTCCAGTGCTCTGTAACCCTTACAGTAAAAAAGTTTTTCCTCATGTTCAGATTGAACCTCCTATGCTCCAGCTTGCTCCCATTGCCCCTTGTCCTGTCATTGGCTGTCACTGAGAAGAGCCTGGCTCCTTCCTCCTGACACTCGCCCTTTACAAATTTATAAACATTAATGAGGTCACCCCTCAGTCTCCTCTTCTCCAAGCTAAAGAGACCCAGCTCCCTCAGCCGCTCCTCATAAGGGAGATGCTCCACTCTCTCCCTCATCTTTGTGGCTCTGCACTGGACTCTTTCAAGCAATTCCCTGTCCTTCTTGAACTGAGGGGCCCAGAACTGAATGATGCCCACTTATTCACATAATACAAAGATTATAAAAGTATAGTATTAATTCAGTCTTAAAACTGAAAAATTAAAACCTATTTAATAAGTCAGCCATGTTTGCAGTATTTCTATTCTGTATAGTATATATGGCACAGCTGTTAACAAAGAGTAGTTCACTAGAGCACACTGTGTATGTATTTTATGTAATCAAAGTGATTTTAAAAAGATATTTAAAAACCTTAATTTTGCATACTTGCAGGTGCAATCTTTGTGATGTACTTATATGACTTTGTGTTAGGAATGGTCAAATGTTCGGTCTCTAAATCCATATTTAAACCAGCCAGCATATCATTCATTTTGATCCTCTTTACTGCTATATACACAAGTGACTGCATGACAAGCTGTGAACTCAGAAAGTTGTTACTTGGCCAATGAACCACATGAACCTGTGGATTCTGGTCTAAAGTTCTCTTTCAATGGAGCTCAGAAGCTGCCATGTAAGTGTTTTTTAACCTCCTTTTGTAATATGGCTGACAAAACAGAGCACACTGTACTTGCAATCTCTGAGTGTCTTAAGAAGAAATAACATGACTATCGATACAATGTTAGATCACCAGTTACGCTGTCTCAGAATTTTTGTTCCTATCTCATTTTTTAGTATATTCAGGAAATACAACAGCTGAGAGAAGAGACGCATGGAACAGTTGTTACAAAAAATTTGTGAGCAGCTCAGTCAGCATCTAGAATTCATTCCCATGAAGAAGTCACTGCAGTGTATTTCATTTATGTTTTTCTGTATCTTCAAAAGTCATATGTTTAGTAAACAGCATTTGGTTCTAAACATTGTTGTACTGAATTACTGCTTATGAGTCTTAGAGACAGTAATTCCATTTTGATGAGTTTTTTCCCCAAAATAGTATCTTTAACAAAGATCTGAGATCCAGATAGGTGGCAAATAGTGCATGTAAAGCGGGCTTTTAAACTAATGGCAAGGGAGGCATTTACATACACTTAGAAAGAAATTATCCTTAAAATCTTTATCCAGAACAAATTATGTAGTTCTCCGTATTGTGTGAGGTGGTTCAGTGTATTCTTTGGGCTGGTAATTTTTGGTGATCCAAACAATTATATTTTATTTTATAAGGAATATAGAATTGTTTCTCCAGTAGAGAAGACAGGAAAAGTTCAAAGAAAGCAAATGCTGAAATCTTCCATTCTTTACCCTAGGTTATGTTGATCTATCTTATTGTCCTCCCTTTTCCTCCCACCCCACAGCTGTCAGCTACAGAGAAAAGCATCTTTCATTGTTATTTCTAAAAGTATGGTTGCATCATGGAAATTAGGTTCAGAAGACTTGCAAAGTTTTGTGAAAGCTGGAGTAATCTATGAGGGAAGTTATAGTCTGTATAGACTGTAAAATGTTGCTGTAATAAACTTCTAAAAAGAAGGACAAGATAATGTAGATGCTATAATTTTTGGTATCTAGGTTAACAAAAAGTATAGAACTTGCTGTAAAAATATGGTAGTTTCTGGAAAATCACTTGGGACAGACACTTTGCAACAAATATTTTGTGCATTCGACTTTCAGTATTAAGTTATGAAATGGATGTTGGATATGTTATATGTTGTGTTTTTAAGAAATAAGTACTTATTAGAGTTGTAGTTCCGATCATGAGTGCGCTCTTGAAGGGAATCTCTTGTACACCCCTTCTTCCCATGTGTTAACTCACCTCATGGAGTCTCTTGGACTTCTTTCAAAAAAGGTGCTCTGCAGAAATGCAGCTAACATACTCCAGCTGCTGATGGGTGCTCCCTTCTTGGGACAAGACTAAACCCAGCATGAATAATGCCTCCAAAAATGCCTAAACCGTGGATAGAAAACTGTGCCTCTCCATCACCCTTTGGAAACCTTGCACCAAAATGGTTTCTGCTAGTGATCGCTGCAATTCCTGAACGCATATGTATAGACAAACCTGCATGCATGCCCCTCCCCATGTCAAGATCACACTAAGGCTTTACGTGTCAAATGGGGTGCAGTTTGCCTTGGTTTTCTTGGATTCACTTTCTGCAGTGTTACCGAACTGTCTTGCTGAAAGGTCAGATATGCACCGTGCTGGTGTGTGGGAAGCGGTGACTGTGTGTGTCAACAGGAGCAAAAGCAGTGGGAAGTTGACAGTGAGATCAGCTCCGTTGCTTTCTGAAACATCATCCTCAGTTGCTTTTGGTGTGCTATAGCTCCAAAACTTAGGTATGTAAAAATGGATTTGAGAGATTACTGTGTTGGTCTGGTCACTTACAGGGCATAGGTATTGTGCCTGCTTGCATCCATGCCAGGTCAGCCCCTACTTTGCTCCATGGATGGGAATGCTCTCGTTACTGAGATTGTGCTGGTGTAACAGAAAGGGAAATTTTACTTGAGGCTTTATTAAAAGTCATTAATTAATAAGTAATCATGAAGCACCGTGAGCCAGGAGAGAATCTCTCACTCATTCTTTTTCACACTCTGACGGCCGCACTGAGTCGCGGGTACAGAGGAAATGAAATGTAAAAGCATTCTTTGAAGCATCTGGTGAGGACTGTGTCCCCTTTGTTTATTCAGGGTTGCTGAGTATAAAGTTGGTTTTCACTTTGAGGGGAGAAAACCACCATGAGGAAAGTTTTACTTCATGACAAATTCTCATTTTTCCTCTGAAAAGTTATCTAGATGGAAAAAAAAAGTTAAACAGCCCTCAGAGAAACCCATTTAAAAATTATTTCCTTTTTTGTCTTATTTAAATTGCTGTCTTTAAAGCCTGTAAATGTCTGTGTGACCTGATCTAAATGTGAACCCTCATTGTTGGGTCTGCAGGATTAAGAGGAATCAAGACAGGTGCAGAGAGTTGCATGGGGACTTCTGGTTTGCCACAGTGGCTCTTATTCCTTGGGGACAGAAATAACCCTCTTGATCATTTTATATGTATGTGTAAATCATAGCTGCCAGTACTTTGCATTGTTTGTATACACAAATACAAAAAATGCAAAATATTGTAGCCGTGATTTAAAAAAAAATTGGCAGATTTTTGCTTTATTGAATATGTGGCTGCAGCGAGTGTGTGTGCATGTGTGTGCAAGAGTATTAGATGCATATAGAATATATTTTATTTATATTTCTATAGTTAAAACAGAACCAATGAGCAGCAGTGAGATTGCTACTACTACTACCACAGACGGGTCTTTAGACAATTTCTCAGGATCAGGTAAGGAATAAACAAAGGTTTTAAGCTCAGCATTTTTTTATTTGCTATTGTCTTATCCCATGTGGTCTAAACCTGTGCACAGCTGTTAAAAAGCCTTGTGTACTTTGCAGCTTATACCTATTTCCGTTCATCTTACTCGGACAGTGTAAGTCAATAGGAGTTTTCCCCGAGTAAGGAGCATTACAGCATCAGGCTGATTAATGTCCATTGGTGTTTTTGGTGGGAGTCTCACTAGGGAGTATTCTGACCCAGAGTAATTACTCTCTTGTTTTCTGTGAGTAAACATACTTGCCTCTGTGATTAGTGCTGTAATTGAGGGGTAGGTCTTTCTCATTTATTGTAATTTATTATTATCAAGGTATTAATTCTTTTGTTAGGCTTTTTTGCTTCCTGGAAGCCAAACACATCTTAGCTTCTAACGTACCGGAGATGAACACTCTGAGTAAATCCTAAGATGTTTGCAGAGTTTTGTATACCTATGGATTAGCTGTGGTATTTCTAGCACATAATTTTTGTGGTGCAAATAAAATAAAAAAAGGATCTAATACTATGCCATGGGATTATGTTTCCAGAGTAGCAAAATTTGACATCTCACAACCAGTCAGGTTCCAAGTAGCTAAACCTTTTCTGGTCTTCTCACAGGCTGTTTTCTGTGCATGCTGTTGAGTATGAAATTTGAAAGCTGAAAAAATGTTTCTAGGGTATTTTAAATCTCTGAAAGAAGAAAAGGTAACGTGTTTAATAGTAGCTGCATACATCTGCGGTGACCTGGCTAAAAGTTGGGCCATAATATTTGACTTATCTGCAGCCTCACAGTCCACAGAAAAGAGAACTGTCAGGTGTGGAAGGCACGGGACGAGATTCCCTGCTTCCCTCCATGCTTCTGAAGTGCTCCCAGCATGTAAAGATGATGGATTTTCCCTGTAGTTGGCCAGGAAAGGGGTAGCTGGTGAAGGGTAATTATCCATGCCTTGTTTATTTCCAGGTACTTAGCAATAGGGCCTGTTGTTTCTCCGCTGTCTGATTTTACAGTAGTCTCATAACCTGCAGCTGACCCCTTCCTGGCAAAGGCTTCAAAACCCACCTTGGGACCTAGCGAAGAAATGGCACCCAGACGGTAACCAGAGAGGGAAGGGCTCCCAAAAATAACACCCAGAGCAGAGCATGCCAGCACATCCACCATGCTCTCAGCAGCACCCAAAAGTACCAAAAGAAATTGGTATGAGTTAGCTTAAAGCTCTGTGTCAGCAGTGTCTGGGCTGCTGGGGAGAAGCTCACTATTTAGGCTCCTAGGCTTAAGTGTTTCACTAAGAAAATTTGCACAGTGATCGTGACATCTTTATGCAATATTGAGTGGTTTGAAGGTCTGAAAGCATTTTAGAAAGCAGATAAGATGGGGGAAAAGAGACGGAAGTGTGATATGGTAATACATCATCTGTATTACAGAATTATTTTTTTTAAAAAGGAGACACGTGCTCTGAAGCTGGCCATATGTTTTCAATTGAGGCACGCATAAAGCTCCTTCATAAAATGTAGGTCTTAAACATTCTAAAAGTTAATAAAATGTTGCACTTGAGATATCAATAATCCTTTGAATATATGAAGGGAAATGTTTCCATTAGGAAATGGATTGTTTGCATTGAAAATGTTGTCTGTGTGCGAGCAAAGAATAAACTATTGCTCAGGAGCTGTACAAAGGGGCAATTTAGTATTTGAGATTTGTAATCAAGATTTTAATGTTAAGCATTTTTGTATAGTTCCTGATAAAATATTATTTTCTATCTAAGGTATCAATGATATTTGAATTTAATTAAAATCTTGTTAATGCTCTGAAATTCTATTAGGAAAAATAATATTTCTCTTTGGTGTGTGTATTTACACTTCTGTGTGCTTTCTTTTCTCCTTGGTGCAGCAATTGGAAGCAGTGGTTTCAGCCCAAGACAAACACACCAGTTCTCCCCACCACAGATTTACCCTTCCAAGTATGATATCTTTTAAAAACAATAATAGTAGTAGTAGCAATAATAACTGAAATGGGCAGATTTTAACCTCATTTAAAATAATAATTGGGTCCATCTGTTAAGTCATAATTTAAACCGCAGCAGCTTCTAGGGAATTTTTTTTTTCTTTAATGCTAAGAATGCATTTGAAAAATATTTGGAAAGTTCTTATTTTACTTATTCTTTTATTATTTATTTTTATTGTTGTTTGTCTTGCAGTTTCTGTTGTCTAGCACAGCCTATGATTATGTGTTAATGAAGTAGCAGGATTATAATAAGGTTAAAAATAAGTACATGTATGTCTGTCTAATGCAGTGTGTGTCTTACTTTCTGTCATTTGTAATCAATAGCAGACCATACCCACATATTCTTCCTACCCCCTCATCACAAACGATGGCTGCGTATGGGCAGACACAGTTTACGACAGGGATGCAACAAGCTACAGCTTATGCCACTTATCCCCAGCCTGGCCAACCCTATGGAATCCCTTCATATGGTAAGAAATCACGTCTGTGTTCTTTTATTCCTGAGGTAAATGTTTTTTAGATCAAGATTATGTGACTCTTGTGTTAGAATTCAGTGGGACAGACATGCCCTCAAACATTTCTTGTGGAAGACTGGTAATTTCCCCGTTGGAGTAAGTGACGTTTGATTTATGTATCAAAGAGCTAAGAAGCTACTCAAGAGGATGACTCTGTTTTGGGATCAAGGAGAGAGATTCATTAGTTTTTTATTGGTGGTATAAAAAAACCCAGCACTGAAATGGGAAAAGAGATCTAGGGGCTTCCATTACACAGACACAGCTCTGCTCCTCAGCAGTGCGTTAGGGTACATCAGTACATAAAGGTCTGAATTTCAGCTGATCCAGATTACTGGAACCCAAATGAATCAGTGAAGCTGTGCTGATTTTCAGCAGGTGAAAAACTGATTCAAAAAGACCCCCACCAAAAAAAAATAAATATATATATATAAACAAAAAAATCATACTTTCAATGTGTTAAAACTTCCTGGGGGTGAAATTGAGGTAAACTGCCACTAAAGCTCTGTCTGCCTGATGAAGGAGATAGTAATAAGTAGCAAATATTTCAAAAAAAATTTAATTTAAAAACAAGCTGCTGTGGGTGAGACCATATTGCTGCCAGACTGTCTGCTGGCAGACCACATAGCAGTTCGGCAGCAAGGATGCATTATTAGAAAATAGGTCTTATATTCCTCTGGGGGAATATATTAAAATATACAATCCACATGCTTTTAGCAGTATATTTTGTAAAGATACAATCAGATAATGGAAGTTTTATACCAAAAGGACAAAAATCACAGTACAAGCTATGCCCCTTAAAATAATTAAAACTCTTAAGTGCAAAACTGGCACATTTTTCATCCTGAAATCTGCAGGTTGAAATCCACTGGGTCTTAAGTATATCCTACAGCAGATTACTGTGAACAGTAGGTACAAGAAATAGATTATTATTTCCCCTTACTTTAAAAAATGTGTTTCATTTTTCTATCATCACAAATTCTGATCCAAGGAAGCATTCTTCCTGTGGCTGCAGCCCTGATTACTTACTGCCAAAAAAACAGTTATAAACATGAATTGGATGTTTCAATTTCAGTTCCATTCCACGTATTTTAGACTTACACAAACAAAATACTTCAAGGATACTTAAACTACATTTTCAAGACTAAGGAGATGGGGATTCTGCTCCCCCCCCCCCAAGTTTCTTGTTTCCAGCTGGATCAGATGGTGTGATAACAGACAACTCCTCTCCCCACCACACTCTTCGTGACCTGTTTCTCCTGTGGGCACCTCGTGTTCATACTTGGGTGATTGTGGTGGCTTGAGCAGCCCAAACAATGACTTTTTTTGATTTTTTGCTTGGTTCCTCTAGATGAAATACTGGCCTCGATGAAGTCAACTATAAAACTCCCACTGACAGGCTCTACAGTGGGACCTGGACAGGCAGGATCAATGGGCTGAGGCCAATTATATGAGGTTGAACAAGGCCAAGTGTCAGGTCCTGCACTTGGGTCACAACAACCCCATGCAGTGCCACAGGCCTGGAGAGGAGTGGCTGGAAAGCTGCTGGGAGGAGAAGGTTCTGGGGGTGTTGATTGACAGTCAGCTGAATATGAGCCGAACAATGTGCCCAGGTGGCCAAGAACGCCAATGGCATGCTGGCCTGTATCAGAAATAGTGTGTCCAGCAGGACCAGGGAAGTGATCCTTGCCCTGTACTTGGCAATGGTGAGGGCACACCTCGAATATCCTCACTACAAGAAGGACATTGAGGCACTGGAGCGTGTCCAGAGAAGGGCAACAAAGCTGGTGAAGAGTTTAGAGCACAAGTCTGATGAGGAGCAACTGAGGGAGTTGGGATTGTTTAGTTTGGAGCAGACTGAGGGGAGACCTTTTTGCTCTCTACAACTACTTGAAAGGAGGTTGCAGTGATGTATTGGTCAGTCTCTTCTCCCTGGTAGCTAGTGATAGGACAAGGGGAAATGGCCTCAAGTTGCACCAGGGGAGGTTTAGGTTGGTTATTAGGAGGAATTTCTTTACTGAAGGGGTTGTCAAGCATTGGAACAGGCTGCCCAGGGAGATGGTGGAGTCACCATCCCTGGAGGTGTTTAAAAGACGAGTAGATGTCACGTTTAGAGACATGGTCTAGTGGCAGACTTAGTAGGGCTGGATAGATGGTTGCATTCAATGATCTTAAAGGTCTTTTCCAACTGAAACCATTGATTGATTCTATGACTTCACCAAGACCTCAATTTCACTACTTGAGCTTAGCTGTCTTGCTGTCATTGGAGCTATAATTGAGAGTTGCTTCACTTGGCAACTGCTTGCTGGGGGTTAACATGCATACCTGCTCTTTTTTCTATTGTTTTGGTTTGGGTTTTTTTCCCCAGTCTGTCCCCTGTGCCTAGGACTTGGGATAATTTTGCTTAACATTTTACATTGCAGAGCTGCTTTTGACCACTGAACCCCCCAGCTTCTGAGCCAAGAGGATTTTGACATGTTTTGTTCTATTCAGGCATTGCCTTGTGACTGGGGCTAAGGTGCTCCTTGCTGATGTGCTTTATAGCAGTACTATTTAAAAGCAAATAATTATTAAAAGCTTAACACTATATATATTTTTGCATATTTAAGGCACATCATATAGTCAGTTTCCCCAAAATAAATTACATGGGCAACACTGAGATGCTCATTTGCAAAAGGCAAGAACTGGAACTTTGTTTAGAGCCAAAATTCTCCTCTTGGGCCTGCAGCTTAGACCTCGTGTACCATCTGCCTTGCCTTTCTCTCATCCAGGCAGAGAGCTTCCTGCAGGTATAAAGAGAGACCTTACAACATACAGGAAAGGAAAAATTCTGAGTTGGAATGAGAGTTTCCTTTCTTTTTGTCTCTTTATTCTGGGGCTTACTGGAAGAGAAACTTTTCTTGAATTCACATATCAACACCCCTCAAGTTTTCTCTCTAGGGCAGAGTTTGGGAAGGTGCTGTCTAGAATGCACCTCTAGCCTCTCTATTTTTCCACTCCCCCAGTTCCACTGTGGTGCAGCCACGCAGGCAGGAAGGGGGGTGGAAGGGAATGCAACTGACAGCTGCCTCCCAGGGGCTCCTGGCTCTGGTTCAGCTGCAAAGCCCTTGAGGAGGCTGGAGAATTTCCTGAAGCTCCCTCCTCCTGCCTGCTCCAGTACCAACATCTAGTGAAGGCTTTGCTTAGCAACTTCTTTTCCTTCCAGATCCTGGCAGTCCCCTTATGTTTTCTCTGTGTCCCTTCTTGCTTCCTTGCATACATTAGACTTAGGAAAAGGGAACTTTGAGGTTTGATGAGTAAAGGCCTCTTCTGGATGAGAGCAGGTGGGAAGAGTAAGTCTCAGGAGATGAAAGGCTCTTCATAGCATGGAGGTTTGCAATAGGGGACGTCACTGCCAAGTTGTCTTCACTCAAGTGGCATCCTCCTGCCGCTGCCTCTGATCGTCTCCTCCTGCTCCGTCAGAGATGGAGAGCTGAATCAGGCTGTTAAAGCTGGGCTAGAAATTTAATGCTTGGTTTAGTTAAACTTTCTCTAAGCAGTATTTAATCAGCATTTCAGAGGTCCTTAAACGGACAACAAATAGGAATCGTTGATACCAAAACATCCATAGCAGAAGTTTCCCCTTGGAAGCGAGGTGTCAGATTCATCATTGTGATTGTTTAATTGTAACATGAAACAGAAGAGGCAAGTAAGCATCAAGGAAAAACAAGCAAACAGGGTTAGTCTGGCAGTTAGCAAGTCTGGCTGAAGGAATTAAGGGTAATTAATGACAGCAGCTGAAAACTAATTATTTAAATGGCAGAAGAAATTATGCTGACATTTGTATATAGGGAGATACTGAAGTTTTGCAAACACAGTAACTTCTCAGCCTTCTGCTACTTTCAAACATTGGTTTATTTTTTTTATTTTTTTTTTAAATCCAACTAGGAAATGCACTTGGATTAACAGTAATTTTCAATGGAATGTTACTAATTCACACTTAGTTAATTCAGTTCAAATAACGGTGGTTTCTGAACAATGAGGTATCACTGAATGCCACAGTGAAGCCTAAGAGTATTGTATTACTTTTCCATTGCTTTGACTATTATTATTTTTAAATGGTAGTTCATGTTGGGACAACCTTATAATTAAAACTAAGAGACAGAAGCTGAATTGTGTGCATTTTCTCAGTGTTTCACTTGCTGATATTTATTTTCTTGTTGCCTTACAAATTGGGGGAAGAATCACTGAAGTTAGGAGGCAAATCATTCATTTAATTGGACTTTGAATTCTTTTATTACTAAATTTGGAAATAAGAGGGTAATGTGATGTGTAATGGATTTCCCTGTCAATGCAGATTAATGGCTATCTGCTATGTTTGTCCCAGTTAGGGAGATTGCTTCAGAAATAGTTCCTATCTATTAGATATTTATTTGTTAAAAAACTGAATGCCTCCTGTAGTGCTTAATTAGCTTTGAAAATAATCATTATACTTAATGCTTCTAGTTCTCTTTATCTGCTTCTAATTCCTTAGAAAGCCATTGCTCTCAGAGCCATCTAATTTTAATGTAGGAATATTATACAATGCAAATCTCAGTTATGTCATTAATGAGTGGATGGCAGGAGACCTTGGCTATGCTATGCTTCATTAAAATCATATAAAGTTGCTAATCTACCTCTGTGAAATGTCATGAATATATGGAAAAGTTAGCCTCTGGCAGAAAAGGAAAAAAGGAATAGTGCAACTTCCTGTTCATGTATAAATTTCTTTTGCAGTTATTGGAAACAGTTTTGAATTTAACCTCTCCCTGGTGAACTTCAGTTTTATGTGTGTTTTTAGACTGCCCTTACCCCATTCATTTGTGCATGCTCTCAATATTCATTCTCTCATGCATGCAATAGTAGGTATATGTTAAAAATGCTGTTAATTAAGTGATTTTATTTTCCGTCCCTGCTTGAATATGAACAAATAGTTTTGCTGTCACTAACTGATTTAGGTGCATTGTGGGCAGGCATCAAGACAGAAGGTGGATTGGCACAGTCACAGTCACCTGGACAAACAGGATTTCTAAGCTACGGTGCCAGCTTTAGCACACCTCAGCCTGGACAGGCTCCCTATAGCTACCAGATGCAAGGTCTGTATACACAGATACTACCATTAATCAGATGTAGTTAATGCTATTTTGGTTTTTGGGGTTTTTTTCCCATTATTTCTTTACAGTCCTAGGGTGAAAATGAATGTTTGCTTGAGCACTTGCCTCTGATGTTATTGTAGCTGGAGCTGAAATGGTGGTTGCCTTTGCTGAGAGCAGTGATGGGCCAGATCTCAGCAGCTTGGAAGATCCCTCGCTTAGTAACTTCATTACTTTTTAAATAGTGGAGTGTTGTAGTGTTACTGCAGTAAAAAGGTATCTCTGAATAGCAATAGTTTAACAAATAGTGAGTGTGACAAAATAAGTCCTGGAAAACGTGACAGGATTATGAATTTAGGAAGTGCCAAATATAATTTGACACCTGAGTGTGTTTGGGGAGGGAAAAGAAGATAAAAATACCTACTGCAGCTGTGGAGGTAGCAAAGTTATGACTGAAGTCTGTTTCTTTGAAGTCTATTTAAAAGCTGCAAGTCTTTGTATGTGCAAGCTATTATTATCAATTATATTTTGTAGCCTTACTTGCCTGTTTAGTTTACTTAATATCTTTCAACTTTGTTCTCCCAATTCCTTTTTTCCCTTCTGTATTGGGAAGTCGCTGGGTGTGCCTGGTTTTGGATTTTCACCACTTTAAGGGATATTTTAAAAAACCTTTGTGTACTACAAATATCTAATTTTGTATGTCTGTGTTGCAGATTTTAGAACTGTTGAATTAAGTGATCACTCACAGAATTGGACAGCATTTTTTTAAAGTTTAGCACCTCTCTTTATTAATATCATGCTCCATTTAAACTTTGCACCATCGTGCGAGCATTTGTGGGCATGGTAGTGTTAGGTTGACAGTTGGACTCGATGATCTTAAAGGTCTTTTCCAACCTTAATAATGATTCTATGATTCTACGTAAACACTCGATGAAATGTCTTGAGGCAGAAGTGCTTTCAGAGACCAAGTGAAGGAGGTTTTGCTTTAGTTCCACAGCTTTAAGGTTTTATCTATCCAGTCATTCGCTCACACACAGGAGAGATTTCTTTTTTTTATTAAATCCGCTTTTGAACTATGTTTTCAGTAGCTCCATAGGGCAGAAGCAACCATCTGACATCTGAAGTATTGCTTACTTGTAGTGTGCTCTGACAAGTAAGAGGAAGATAGTATAAGAGTAGTAGGCAAACTTTCATCTGAATGCTGAATAGTGGTGAACTTATACTTGCCTGAGTAAATATCACTGTAACCAGTTTGTTGGTTTTGCTTTCTGCAGACAGTCATGCTAAACAAAACAAATGCACATGCCACCTCCTGAAAAAAGCCTTACCGCTCTGTAGGAGAGAGCTCAAAATGTTTGCCAGCAGCAGCTATGAGGAACTCATGGATCAACATTCCAGCTTTTAAAGAACTGATAATTCATGGTCACTAGGAAAAAGAGTTATTGAAAAATCATGTCTGTGTTGCCTATAATCGCTATTGCAGTGATGCCTTCGTGCCACAGTCATGTATGAGGATCCTGTTGTGCTAACTTAGAGCCAAATAAAAGTATAGTCCACATAGAAGTTGGGGGCTAAAATAAAACACACAGGCTAGTAAGGCCTAATGTAACAATAAAGCTGATACTGTTTAGGCATAATAAACAGTCATCACACCATATTGGTTATCTAACAGCTCTAAAGGTAGGATTTTTTGGTAATATACAGAGCAGAGGGATGTCAATAAAAAGGGATTTTAGGGAGGACAATGAAGTAGTTTTGCAGATGTCTATGGGAAACTCATTCAATGGAGGGAGGAAAGGGGGAGCAGCATGGGATACCATGAGAGTGCTTGTTGGAAAATTTTAAGAGTAAGCAGTGAATTCTGGCATTAGTAGAGCAAAGCTAGGACTCAGTCAATGGACTGCATAGAGGTCTGTCAAAGGGTATTGCTTTGTTTTCCACAAAATGCAAAGTGTGTATAAGATCACAGTTGTCAAGGTCGTGAAAGGGTGGTGGTTGTCAAGAGGTAGAACAGTAAGATCTTGGTAAGGATTTCAGCTGTACCCGTTCAAAGGCAAGGATCTAAAAATATTCTGCAAAAGAAATATGTTAAAGATGACCCAGTTGTGCAGCTCTAACAAGAGGAAGGTCAGAAGCATTGATTTCATAGTAGTGTTGTCTGCAGGGCTGAGGGAGGAGGGGATCTGAGCCTGGGTTCTGCTCCAGCTGTGCCATGCTTGGGCTGAGAGCTGCCCACCCGTGCAAGGCAGCAGATCACAGAGTCTGGTTTGTGTGAAAGAGCCACATGTCAGAGTGGGAGAGTCTGGGGGTCTCCGTGGTGCGTGTGTCATTTTGTCATGCTCATGAACAGTATAGTCTGTGGATGAGGGAAAGACTGGTCTGCTACAGAAACCTTACAGACCTTAAGAATGGAAATAAGGAGAATATTCCAAAATATTTGTGGAGTTGTTAGAAGCCAAGTAGAAAGTAATCACATTGCTGTACAGGTCTTTTTTGCAGGTAAATATTAACAATATATATCTATACAATACATGAGAATGTATGTCCATTTAGTGTTTCCATTGGGCTAACTTTTGAATTTGAAACAACTTTAAATTGACATAATTCTTCCTTTTGGTTGAACAGATGTTAAAAGTAAACAGGAACATTTGTTTCCCTTTCCTCATTTAATTTTGGAAGGAGAACCTATTCGTAGTTTCAACTATTATTTAAGGACAAAATTCATTCTCTTGACAGAAGACGAGGCTAGTGCTGCCGCTGTTCAGTTGTTTGTGCAGAAACCTCCAGAGAGGGAAATGAGTTTATTCTCCCTTTCCCCTCTAGCAGTATATGGGCAGGCTGCAGCCTCAGCCTTGTCATAGCTTGTGAAAGCTGTTCTTCATCTCCTGCGTGCGGCTGCTGAGCTGCTAAATGGGAATAATGGATCCCACAGCCTCCTTCACAACCAAGCATTACAAGACGGTGCACTCAGGGCCCTGCTGGCATTCTCGCCTGCAGTAAAGGGGCTTTCCTAGCGGCCTTGCAGTTGTTGTGCTCGTGCTCCCTGGTTGGGTTTACCTCACACTCCAACACTTTGGAGTTATTCTGGTTCCTCTCCGTGAGGCCAGTGTCTCTGTGCGACGTAAAGGCGCTGCCTCGCTGTGCGTGTGCAGCCAATTAAACCCAGTGCTTTTCCTTAGCCTGCTAAAATTACAGCATGATTACTGATCACCGAACAATAGTGGAGGGAGAAACTGCCAACTTTTGAAAATGATGAGGAAAATTGCTGCCTGTGACTCCTTGCTAAGGTTATTCTGGTAACTGGATTTTTGTTTGTTACAAATTTATCATCCCTATAACGGGGGATGAGGAGGGTAGAGGATTGGAAGAAGACCTAGGTGGTTCTGCCGCTCTGTTTCCTCACTCCTCCCTACCTTTACTTTAGTGAGTATGTTATTTAAGCTATTTTTCGTGTAAGTTGCTTCATAGATGGAAGGGTACTAGACCCACGATGAGCACCAACATTGTTTTAGTTACCAAGACTGATGTTTGAGAATATACTAACCAATTGGTTTGGGAATTCAACCATAAAAAAGTAAACGTTAAGGTATTCGGTTATTATTATACAGTATAAAAATATTGTGCTGCATGGCTAAGCAGTTACTAGGACAACAAGGGGGAGTTTGCCAAGGATTTTTAAACACTGTAAGCAAACGGAAGAAACCTTGAGTTTAAATAGCCCATCTGGCCCTCTTAGGCTTTCCCAGGAGAGCTGCTCTAAACTTCTGCCACATACATTGTACCCTGATGATAGACATAGCCCATGGCAAGGAGACTGAGCTAGGAAAGCAAATGGACTTCTGTGGCCAATACACAGGGGAGGACTGCATCCCGCGCCTCGCAGCGGCATGGGGGCAAGCCCTGCGCTTGGAGCCCATGCCCTGGTCCCAGCAGGGTCCAGCCCTCTTCCAATGCTGAACTAGGATTTCCTGCTTTAATGTGGGTCCGTGCTTTTTGCAAAATAGACCTTTGACCTGTAATTTACAGCTTTTATCACATTTTAAAGCTACGTAGCTGGCCAACTTGTGTCAGCAAATCTTGTACATTTCATAGAGATTCTTATTTTTGTGTTTGTTCAGCTAAGGCAGGAACAGCAGCTTTATGCCTTGCTGCAGCTGATTATTTAAAAACCAAATGGCAAAATTGGAGTATTTTAAAAACAACTTTAGGCCAATAGTTCTGGGTGGCCTACAGAGCCATTTGTGAGAAACCTGCTTCATGTTTGTTACGGTCTAGGAGACCCCTACCCCTCCTCCATAGGAGCCAGCGCTGACCATGAGATGAAAGAGAGAGATCTGCGTGCTAGTATGTGTGTGTCTTTGTTTGAGAAGGAGAGATACTGGCTGGCATGCAATTACTTTTCTCATTTGCTCTTGCAAATTATTTGCCAAACTTTCTGTGGGAAGATAATGTATTCCTCAAAAAAAAGGTTTTGGTTTTTATTTCCTCTTACAGCTATGAGGGGCCTTTTATATCTTTTTAGAATGACTCAAACCACGCACCTATAAAACCAGTGCTTGAATGTATTACTGCATAACTCAGAAATAACTACAGAAATAAAAAGAGACACAGTGACTTACATTCTTCCAGCCAAAGCACTCTTAGAAATAAAATAGCATTTCAAAGTTTTGCAATTTAAAATATTTTTCAGCTGTATTTTGGCTCTGGGGTTTCTTATAATAAAAAATAACATCTGTTTTCCAATTTTAAATTAAATTTAAAGCAACATGTTTTTCTCATTAGTACTGTTTATCTGTACTATCTGCTAAACTTGGATGTCAACTCTTCTGCTGAAGTAATCTGATTTTAGTTCACAGGATTAGTAGTATCTATCAGCAACCGCAGAGCTTTTGCACTAAGAGCAAATAGAAGAGAAATGTTTACAGTCATTATCACACATTAAGTTTAAGCTTCACCTTTTACTCCCACTGCTGTTGGATGTATTTCACGTCTACTTTGAGGCTTAATTTTGTGCATTTTTAGTAACTTTTGCAATCAAAGCATTTCAGTATTTTTCCTTCTGACTTCTTACTGCTAGGATACCTATTGGTTGTATTTTTTTGGTGTTTGAAAAAGTAAATAGCTCACAAATGCCCTTCAGGGCTTGCGCCAAGCGTGCAGCCCTGCCTGCATTCCTTGCTGTTTGGAGTGGCAAGAAATCTCGCTTTTCTCAATGAGTAACCACTGCATAGGTATTTGGTTGTTAATTGAGTTGTGTCAGGTACATCAGAGGATAGGTGCATGGCTCCCTGTTGATCTCCATCTCTCCTTGCCTCCTTTGGTCACCTGCAAGCTTTTCCTCCCAAGGTTTCCATATATCTTTGCACTAAGGCAAGGTTTTGGTGGCAAGGGAGACTGTAAACAACGTGGGTGCTTTCATGTGAGCTTCTCGCTGACTGGTGCTCTCCTGCTGGACAAATTCAATAGGTTGCTCATTACAGACTTTCTGGTGGCTTATGTAGCTTCACCCTGTGCCATCCATATGTCTCAGCTGGTGGCTGTGTCACTCCCGGGTTATAACCAGTGAGGGCAAAACAGCTGAAAGGGGGTTGCTGCCCTTTTAGTGGAGCAGCGTCTCAGGTTAGGTATTAAACAAGAGCCCCATCTGTCTATTTTTGGTGGCTCATGGTGGGGGGAGGGCAAGGGAGGTGAAGGCAGTAATTCAACCTCTGGGCTAAATTCATAGTTGAGTCTCCCTTTTCAGAGAGGTACTTTTTTCCCTTGTGTCATGCCCAGTAGACTCTATCAAAAAAGAAGTAGGGTTTGTGGCCCAAGGCTGTCTATGATCGATCAGCACATCCTAATGGCTTTGCAGTTGGGCTCTACTGTTTGGAGCAGGGAGTTATGGCTTTTGCTGTTGCTTTGGGTGCTGAGGTTCAGGAAGGGGAGAGGACCTGGTTCTCAAAGGCAGTAGGAGAAATGGAGCCAGTGGGGCTTCAGTGAGTGAGACGGCATCTCCTGGGACAAGTCTTGCCGTTATTGTTCAACAAAAGCTGAAAGTAAAGAAACCCTCATTACTTCCACAGCACTGAGGATTATTCAGAGGGATGGGATAGCCTAATATTCAATCAGACCTGATGTGGCTCCAAATTCCTGTGTGGTTTTCAAGTTTTTCTTTTTATTGCAATAATGAAACACAGGGTATAGGAACAATGAATTATCACTTTCCCTATATTAATATGTTATAAAGCTGATGACAGCCAAATCAGTCAACATATGGGAAATATTACAAATATGCAATATCCTTATGATATAATTGCGTGATGGAAGTTATTTTCCAATACTGTGTTTTAGTAATTCACATAATTTTTCATTTCATTTCAGGCAGCAGTTTTACAACATCATCAGGAATATATGCAGGAAATAATTCACTCACAAATTCTACTGGATTTAATAGTTCACAGCAGGTAAATTTGTAAATATGAGTAAAGGAAACTTTGGCAAACTTAGAATTCTCATCCACTGAAAAAATAGCTTTTTGAATGAAATTAGCATCCTTTCAAGTTAAACTAATGTTTATAAATGTTTTTCTTCAATTTGTCATCTTACAATAGTAGAACTAATTGTCCGAGATTGATGTTCTTCTTCATACATCTTCAGCAGTGTGTCTAATAAACTGTTTGTAGGAGAAGACATACTAAATTATGTGTAATTTAGATTTCGTTTTACTGCCCTGCAGTCTGAGGTCCTACAGCATTCAGTCCAGGAAGCATACGTGCTGAAAGTCTGACATGTGTTTGTAGTTACATTTTGGAATTTATACTAAAAAGTAGCAAAACTTTGATGGACTATTAGGTTGCTTTTTTGTCTTGCAGGAATATCCCTCTTATCCCAGTTTTGGCCAGGGCCAATATGCACAGTATTATAATAGCTCACCGTATCCTTCACATTACATGACAAACAGCAATACCAGCCCAACAACACCCTCCACGAATGCAACATACCAGCTTCAAGAACCACCATCTGGCATCACCAGTCAAGCAGTTACAGATCCTGCAGCAGGTAATTACATGGATTTTATGGTCCCTATGAGGCACGTTTTTGTAAGTTGAAAGGGGGTCGAATTGGATTTTTTTGGTGTGTGTGTAGTAGTTGATTTTTTTTTTTTAATTATTTCTTAATCCTGAGCCTGTGGCACATCTTGCACAGATTCTAACAGAAAATAGACTAAAGAAAACCCAGGATCAGTAAAAGTTTTAAAGCTTGTGTGAAATACAAGTTGTTTGTATTTATTTGTAAAATGCTTGTGTTAAGAATTGCAGACTATGGGTTCTAAACAAGAACCTGATGCTTTTAAGGTCTGTCTTCATTAAGATAAACTGCTTTGATTTTTCCTAGGACTGAAATCGAGAGGCCTTCAGACCATAGCCCAACTGTCCACTTGAAAGAGGGATTTTGTGTTTTTCACTTTTTGAGGACATAATGCTTGTAATGTGGAGTTAAAATTGCATAAGTGTTTCCATTTTAAGAAAAGGTTGTCAGTGGCTCGTCCTTCCCAGCCGTTTTACCTTTCTTGCTGGAATTTGGCAGTCCTTTACTAGCTGAGATTTTTTTTGAACATTTGTGCCAAACTACTCCAGCTGTTCTTTGGAAATGAGAGGCGAAAAATACTTTTCCCATTATTAAAAAAAATAAAAATACTTTTTTAACAGCTCAAGCATGTCAGTAGTTAGTAAGTGGCAGAAGTTTGAAATCTGTCAGAGAGAAAGTCCAAGGTTGCAGATGTGTTTCTCAGTTATGCAGTAAGAGGCAATTATGATTTGGCAATGTTATCAGGTTTTGTTTTGGAGTTTTGTTGTGTGAGGTTGTTTTTAGTTTTCTTGAAGTACTTCATGGGACTGATCTTGCATGTGCAATGTAAGCTTTAATATCATTTGCTAAGACTCTCTTGCTTTTCTGCCTGAGTAAGTACCTGATGAAAATTCATGCAGTGTTGTCTCTTTTGATACATTTCCTTAAAGCAAGCAGGGAAGAAAATACAGCTAGCGTGTGCATTTATATACACAAGCTCACTTATGTGTCTGTTGTATTTGAGAAAGGAATCTTTCTAAATATCTGAATGCATATTGGAGTCTGTGGCTTTTAGAATGCATGGATGCATATTAGAATTTACATAGTTACTCTGCTTTTCACTTTGTTTTTAATTTTTTATTTTTGTTTTCTTGTGGATTTTTTTGCCTTTCTTTTTAAGATGGAAGCAGTAAGTTCCTCTTACCCCAGAAAACAAATGTGATCAATTTTAGCTTTTATCAAGATACTAACACTGAATCATCTGGGTCTTGATCTTTTGTAAAATCTTTGCATCAATTTTTTGAAGTAGTTGAAATTTCCTAAAAGTAAACACATATGCAGAGAGAGGAGATATATTTTTCCCAAGCTCAAATTTACTGGCTTAAAGGCTGTCTCCCTATTTAAATAGTTTTCTGTGCTATTTATTAAGTTCCTATAAGCTGTACATCCGTGGATGCCTTACCACTGCTTCATTAGACAGGTTTCTTGGTCGTGTGCACACCTTCTCTGGTGTTTCTGGAATTGCTGTCTCCTTCCCTGAGATATTTCTGTTATCGTTTTAACAATTCTGAAAAAGTTCCTTGAAATGGTTTGCAAATAACAAGTCTTAATGTAGTTGCGGGGTTCTTTTGAGCTGGATGCCTGTATCGCAGGCAGGGACACATTTAGGAAAATACCTGTTGTGGGCCCCTCTCTGTTAGAAGGAGCTAATGGAAGCAATCTTTCTGTTCCCCTTCATCAACACAGTTGCAGTTGGCAGAAGGTATAGGGCTAGACCAAGATTTCTCCATTTACCTTTACACATTTGCCTTTATGCATTTAAGTTAGGATCAAACCCATTTAGGCTCCTTTTGTATTGAGTGGGGAGAGATCAGTACCTCTATTGAGTTCAGTTTAATTACAATTTTAATCTTTGGAGGTGCCAAAGCCTCTCCAGTGATACGAGAACAGCATAAAGTGGCTGACATACCAGCATTGGGTTGCTAGATTAAAATTAGGTGAGAACATTTCGCTGCCTCACAAACCTTCAACCCTAGTAAAAGGGAATTGAGGACCAGTCAGTGAACCCAGTGCTGTGCCTGCCATTTCCCCTTGGACAGTGTGAATTTTTTACTTTCTTCTTGCTAAAGATTATTGCAAACCCTCAGTTGAGCTCATACACAGTATATTCAAAAGATAAAGCAAGTCTGGGGTCAAAAAATAGAGGGATCAGCATGGAGAAAGGGAATTCTGGTGAGGTGGGGACAAGTGAAAGGCATATTAGAGAGAAGGAAATTCACAACTGGATCAAAACCACAGAACAAAGGAGCAAACTAGCTATATTTTAATTACAATTAGTAATTAAATTAGTCCGATTTCTGTAGGATATTTTGCCACATCTGGTCAAGTTAATTTGCTGTTTCTCTGCCACAACTGGCACACTGCATATGAGGGACGGTGGAGAGCAGTGCAGAGCCATCACATGAGGCTACTGTACCCTCACAGTAGGATGGGCTCCAGCTGCTGAATTGCAGCTGTTCTTGCTGGATGTTGATACCCCTAGACGTCTTGTATATTTAAAAAAAACATGTAATCTCTGCGGTTCTGAACTATGCCAGTACAAGCACAGAACAGCCTTCAGACTTTGCAGAGGCACCAGAATAATTTGACAGACATAGGTGGTTCCTGTGAATTTGGGCCAGTAAGTGAAACAGAAGAATCTGGTAAGAAACATGTGAAAAGAGAGCAAGTAATCATGTGCTCTTGTGACATTTTTAGTAGAATTTTGCAGACTCAGAAAGCTCAGATAATGTCACTTGAAGTATGTTTAATTCCTTGTCCAAATATAAAATAATCCTTTTATGGTTTCCCACAGTTCCTAGTTAAATATGCAAGTCTTTTGACATGCAATCCAAGACGTCCAGGAATTCCTGTAGAAGAACCTGAGATTTTCTATGCTTAGTGTTTCTTCTTTCTCTTTCCTTTGTGGATCTGAAAAATTTCTCATATCCTAGATATGACAAAACTTTTTGATTGCACAGAGGTTGGTAGTCCCTCTCTACATAAATGAGACATACAAATTAATTCTATTTTCCTGTGAACACAAGGCTGTATTTTTGCTAGTAACATAATCAGAAGATTATGAAACAAAACAATAAATCTCAGTATCACGTTTCAAATGTTTAATGTGTGTTTTGTTCAGATTTCATTGGAAATTTTGTTTCAGTTCAAAAGTAAGAATTTTCAAAGATCCGAGAGATTTTTTTTTTCCATTTGTAGAATTCTAACTTTCGCTTTACAGAACAGAATATTTTTCATCAGAATAATGACAGAATGTTAGGGTCCTTCTGGGATGAGCTTTCAATGCATACATGAGTAGATTATCCCAGATACGAAAAATGAGATGTTGATTTTTCATGGGAGC